AAAATGATTATATCAATTTATATTTGCCTGAATACTGTAAAAGTACCAGTTTTATTATTCTCCCTCAATAGCAAAAAATACATAAAATAAATTCTTGTTTCAATTTTCATTTACTAAGATATGAAACTTTTTTACTGATCATTTTTTATTACTTACAGCCTGTTCCACTAATTTTCCCGAGGCTAATTCTTCTTGGAGCTTCTGGGCTTTCAGTGTTCGTTTTGCCTAACCAAAAAACAAAACAAAACATTTGCAATTTACTTACAATACTCAAATGAATATTTAATTTTTGTAATATATTTAAGAGGACTAAGTCTATTGTTTTCAGAAAAGGTCGGTGGACAAGGTCATCTCGTTGTGATTTCCCAGAGCTCTAGACCTATGCTCCGTAAGGAACAGCAGCTACAAACGCCCGTTTGAAGCAGGCGCGAATGGAAGCCGAGCCAGAGGGCACCTGTGGTGAACTGCGGAGAGCAAGCCCCATCCGAAACGGGCAGCCACCTGCCTCCAGATGGCTGAATCTCGTCAGGCTGGCCCCGTATTACCATATATTTCACTGTTCATGAGAAGATAAAATTTAGATTATGTAAAATCTCATGATTTTTAAATGTCAACTCCGTTTAGAGAAATAAAAAAAGCAGTGTGACTATGGTTTTAAATAGGGGTGAGGAGGTGAAAACATAACAGAAAAAACTGAGGCTGAATTAAAGTAAAACTCAATTTTCTGAAACAAGTTTCCTGGCCCCCTTCTACCACCCTCAAATGCTCTGAGACAACTGTAAAGTAGGCCCACGGGCGACATACAGTCTGGGAACTAATTTTATAAACTTAAAAAGCTGAAAACTTTGGACACTATAATCTGTTCTCACACTTCCAAATTTTTTTGCAACCTAAGTCAGAGAGTAAAGGACAACACAAGAATCAAATAGCCCTGGTTGGTGTAACTCAGAGGATTGAGCGTGGGCTGCAAAACAAAGGATTGCCAGTTCAATTCCCACTCAGGGCACATGCCTGGGTTGCAGGCCAGGTCCCCAGTGGGGGCCATGTGAGAGGCAACCACACATGATGTTTCTCTTCCTCCTTCCCTTCCTCTCTCAAAAAAAAAAAAAAAAGAGAGAGAATCAAATAAAAAGAAATTGCTGCCAAACAGGGCTAGCACACTGTGTATGATCATTATTCAATGAGGCTTACATAATAATGCCACCATTTTTAAACTTGAAGACTCAAAAAATGGAGCTGCTAAATTAGAGACAGAGCAAACTGTACACTCGTTAAGAACACCAGGAAAGCCGGAATTTTGCTCACCAGATCAACTTTGGCATATTCCTCTACAATTTTCATGTGTTCTTCCGGATTGTAGCCATTCCACCGATCCCTCTTGCCGTCGTAGTCAAACGTCAGCTGAGGCTGCATGTGTTCGTCCGGAGCTATGTTAACCCCTGTAAACTTTGCTCCAACACGCCGAGGTCTCTGGAAAACAGGGTAAGATTAAGCCTCTCCCTGAGTGCCTGCAGCCCAGAGGCAAGCTTCACATGTTTACAGAGCAGGTGTGAACACACCATGACACTTGACAGTCCCTTTCATAAATCCACCAGTTAGTCTTCCAGCAGAAAAATCTAACGATGCTGAATTAAGATTACTTTCATGCGAACTAATTTTTGTTTGGTAGTGAAGAATAAGTAATTCCAGAAAAAAGGAATGAAGCGCTCTGACGAGGAGTGCAGAAGTTAAGGCACTGACTGCAGTTTCCTGGACTCCCAAGGGTGCGCTCACCTCGAAGCAGTCCTTCTTCTTGTGTGTCATGGCCCCGCAGTTTTCACATGCTCCTTTGCGGTACTTAGTAGCTATGGAATTCTGCACGTGAACAAGAAGAAAAACAAAGAACATGTTTTATGTATCTGAATAAGTTGAAAGTAATATTGGCTCTCATTATATTGTCTAATGAAATGATTTATTAGTTAAAAGGATAACCAGTGAGTCTCTACTCTTTTATAAATGAGAAAGTTGAAGGACTTCAGCAATATAAAATTTATGAACAAAATACAGGAGCTAATGTCATGTGGACTGTGAATTTTAATACCAGGTAAAAAGTTATGTAACCCATTTCTCCTTTATACAGTATTGTACTAAAGGTTGTTACTTTAAGTTTTTAAAATAAAATCTCCATTTACACACGGCTAGGTGCAGGGTGCCTACACACCTCCTTCACGCCCCTCTTGTACCACTCTCCAGACGAGCTGTACTGCCTTTGTTTTTCGGGCTGTGGTCTCTGGTGCTTTAAAGTAGGTCTTTTGGATGGATCAATATACCATGGCACTGAAGAAATATACTGAGGAATATGAGGGTTGATGTCTCTGTAATAAAATTTTTTTAAAGAATAAAGTTAAAAAAGTAACTGATATTACAATTACTGAAGGTAGTCTATACAGAATCTGAGAATAGAGATACTGCAATGGGGGGAGGAGAGGATACGCTTGATATCTCTGTAATATAATAAAAAAAAATACAATTAAAAATAGTGATTTAAAGTAGAGTGAGAAAATTGCCCACAAAGAAACTAAGAATAGTGATATAACTGAAGGAGGAAGAGAGATGTATTTTAATGAGATAAATCTTATATCAGAGCAAGAGGTAAATAGTAATGTCTTCAAGTTGATTAAAATAATGGATTAAGTGTATTATTTAGACATGTGGAGGTAACAGCCAGAAAAACTAAAAAATATAAAGGTTTGTAAGTAGTCAGCTTCTGCAGCGGGACGGGGAGTAGGAAGGGTTGAAAGGGACTATAGTGTTCATTATAAGTCCTCCAATATTACTTGATTACTAAACTGTGCAAATGAGTTTGATAAAATAAATAAAACAAACATGATGTATATGGTAAAGATAACCTGTCAAAGAATGAGGAACTGATAAATTAGACATGAATTTGAATTTTGAATGAACAGATAATGCAAAAAATTACTTACTTTCCTTCTTCATCAACTTCTGCAGGAGCATTACCCAGTTTTCGCTGTTCTTCTAGCTCCTTCTTCTTTCTCCAGTCCTCTCTGGTCATCTTCTTTGGCTCCTCCAAACTCATTTCTTTGGACCCCGACAGGGGGGCAGCATTAGCTGTATCCACAACAGTAGCCGACATTGTTACCTGGCCTCCTCTGTGAAAAGGAAGAAATCTCTATTAGTGTAAATAGGCCTTCACAAGTTCATCTATCAAGATTACCTTCTAATGACACATACTGTGGGTAATAAATACTGTCTCATATGTTCTTATTCTTTCATAGTATCTGTGAGGAAAGGTTCTCTTTCCCCTAAATAAAAATTCTCTACTATTGTAGTTACTCCCTCAATTCTAATTTACAAATGAAGAACATATATACATATTTAAAATGTCTCAAGATTCTCTCATGTACATTTCCAAATTCCTCTGTATGTAAATGTTAAACTTTCCTACCACACTAACCCTTAATAAGTAAACAGGGTCTGATCTGTGTTATCCTTAAATACTGAATGCCCTAAGAGTTATCTGTATTTATTACCTCTATTTCATCCTCAGCTACTTCTCTCTTTAATCACTCTAATTTAGCTTCCAACCCTTACCACCCCGAAAAGTTACCACTAAGTTCTCAATGGCCATTCTTTTCAGTGCTGTTCCCTCTCTCTTTGCTACCTTCTTATCTCTCAGCTTAGGGGACCCTGTATTCTTCTGGTTCTTCTTGTACCCCTCTCACTGCTCCTCTTGTTTCCTTTGCAGGTTTATCCATTTCTGTCTAGTTAGTTAATTTTGGATTCTGCAAGGCTCAGTCCTATAGCCTCTTTCATCACCCTGAACACCACTAGTAGGACAAGCTCATCCATTTCCACGACTTTAGTAGCCACAGTACACCACTGTTGGCTCCAATTTATTTCTCCATTCCAGGCCTTTTACCTGAGCTTCTGATACATACAATTGCTTACTTCACAGCATCTCCACTTAGAGGTCTCAGAGACACCTAACCTCAACAAATTTTAATTCAAACTCATGATCTCCTCTACAAAATCTACTCTCCTTTCAGTTTCTTCTCTTAATGAAAAACACCATCATTCATCCCTTTACTTAGGCGTTCCAGCTAATCCCCACATCTATTTCATTATTAAAAATTATGTGCACCTTCTGAATTTCACTCATATTCATCTAATCCTTTTCTCAAAGCTACTACCTTAGTATTACTCCTTTTTCCAACTACATGCCATTTTAAATATTCCAGTAGTCATATTTCGACAATACAAAGAAACAGGTAAAATTACTTTTACAATACTTTAGCCCAGTATTTCCAGCATATTATGTCGCCATAAAAGAAAACTTTTAAAAATCTGATGGTGATGTTACACTTGCTCAGACTAGCCACATTTCAAGTGCTTAAGATACACGTAAATAATAGCTATCCCACTGGGCAGTGCAGCTCCAATGACATATTTTTTTCTTTAAAAACTACTAAAAACAACAGTCCTGGTCTGATTGGGCCGAAGTACGATACCACGTGTAAAGCTTAGAACAGCGGCTACCTTCTCGGTGCTCGTTCCCTGCTCCCTCCTCCACCTGGTGTTCCTCATCCCCCTGAAGGTATATCTGAAGAATTAGAAACTTCCGGCCTATTTTCCGGAGTTCTCGAGCTAAACCTTCCCCGCCATTTACACCACCCCGCTGGCGCCACCTCCTCAGCACTGTCCCACCTCCCGCACCCTCCCCGCTCTCGTTCGCCACACTACTCTCCCCACCCAAATTCTCAAAATAATTACTCACCCGGTCCCGTCGCAGGGGACCCCCAAACCACTGGATGGATAGAAACGAAGCCAGTAAGTCTATGTTTACTTCCTGTACTCAGCGCTTCCCGGTAGCCACCGCGGGACACATGCGCATTAACAACTCTTTGGGTCCCAAGATCCCGAGACGTCGGTCTCGCGAGATCTCGAGCTTTTGTACTCTTCGGACTCTCAAATGAGTACTCTGTAAAACCCGTATTTGTGCGTATCACGTCCCATTACCCGAGGTTAAAAACTCCAAAGCAACGCCGTCCAAGAGAAACATAATGTCAGCCGTAGGTGTCATTTAAAATAGTCCAGTAACCATATTATGACAATAGAAACAGGTAAGATTACTTTTGCAATATTTTATTTAACCCAATATATCCAGCATATTAATTCGCCATAAGAAAAAAGTAAAGTTTAAAATCTGTTAGGGACATCACACGTGCTCAGACTTGCCACATTTCAAGTGCTTAAGAGCCACAGGCAACTAATAGGTATCATGCTGTGTAGGGCTGCTCTAGTGACATACCTTTTACTTTTAAAACCACTTTACTTTTGCTTTAAAAACCACTGACGACGCAGTTCTGGCCTGACTGGCCTAAGTACGATGTCTGAAGCTTAGGATGTTGGCTTCCTTCAAGGTACCCGTTCCCCGTTCCCTCCTCAACCTGGCATTCATCTCGCCTATGAGGTTGTACCTAAGAATTAGTAACTTAAGCCCATTTTCCGGGGCCCTCCAGCTTCACCTGTCTCACCTATAACTCTCTACCTCCTCCTACCTTGTTCGCTGCTGCCTACCCCCAACCTGGATTTAATTGCAGTTGCAACCAATCCCAGAAATATAATCGAATCACCCAGTCTGGAATTTTCTAATGAAGCATATCAAGGAAAGAGGACTTGAATCTTTGTAAATTTAAGAAGAGAGATTTATTTGGGCCCATCTGAAGACATTGTGTGAGAGCAGAGTTCAGGGATGTTTATATAAGTAGGAGGACAAAGAAAAATACAGCTGTGCATAAGCTGTTTTAGTTAGTTATATATATTCAAGGATTAGTAGGTTTATGTCAGGTGGAGAGAATATGCAGATAAGGCAGGGCCGTCAAGCACCTGGAGTCCTGAGTTGTAGGAAGGGTTCTCAAAGCAATTATTTTTACACATTTTTACGATGTAGAAAGAACAGGCACTGAGTGCCTTCTATAATCATTTATCTTTTTTTTTAATACAATCCATTCCATGAAAGCTTTCTTCCTTTTTAAAAAAAGATTTTATTTATTTATTTTTAGAGAAGGAAGGGAGGGAGAAAGAGAGAGAGAAACATCAATGTGCAGTTGCTGGGGGCTGTGGCCTGCAACCCAGGCATGTGCTCTGACTGGGAATCGAACCTGCGATGCTTTGGTTCGCAGTCTGCGCTCAATCCACTGAGCTATGCCAGCCAGGGATTAATCATTTATCTTTTTAATCAGAGCTATTGGAAAATATATGTGGCTAGTCCCAGGGAAGTCTTGGTGAGGAATTTACTGTGTTGCCTTGGTTACTGATCAAGTTCCAGCAGCAGTTTAGACACATTTTCCTTTCTCAAGTCCCAGTAAGGTTAGCTGCCACATGGACATGCTTCACTCGTTACCCCCACGGAAAGAAGAATGTGTCTGCTTGATAAATACCTTCCCCTTCTTCCTCTAGCAACCCCCTCAAAAGATGTCTTGGCCCCCAAATAATTCTTCTCTTTTGTTAATATCTCCATTGCCCCATCCTTCTTCCTATATAAACCTTTTGAATGCTGGTGTAGTTGTTAGGTGGGATGCCACCCGATTCATGAATCAGTAAATAAAGCCAATTAGATCTTCACATTTACTCAGCTGAATTTTCATTTTTAGTCCCACCTATTCTGGTCATTTTAAAAACTTGTGTAAAAATAACATGTATTCCTTTTAAAACATAAAAGTGAAAATAGCTAAAACATTTTTGCCTCAATAAGATAGCCTATTTTAATGTCTATTTTTTTCTTATCAAGAATTTGCAGTGCCTAGAGTTTAGGAATATAAATATTAATTTTGATTCTACAGGGCAATAGATAAAGGAATAAAGTGTCAGAGAATAGCCTGAAAGTGAGTAGTCTGTGAATCACCCACACTTAGTTTTTATCTCTTTAAAACAATTACTGAAATTGCTTGGAAGTGCTGAGGTGTATTAAGTTCAAACCACCAGGCACAAGCTCCTCTCCCAGAGGAATCATAAAATGTGCTGGACAAGAGGGTAGAATCTTTTGTAAAGTTTGGGTTCCTCCCTGGAGGATTGATTCTGAAGAGGATTTAAGGAAGCAGTTCTGGATGGGTCGGAGTTTGTAAATCGGGATTAGGATACATTGGGGTTGATTAGGATCTGCGTGCCCTTGTGAAGGGAGGGTGATGTAACAATTGGGTACCCCACTAATTGTTTTTGGAAGAACAAAGTAGGTCTGAAGCATCATTAATAAGAAAACAATGGTCACTCAGCGGGGAGGTGATTATGGCATTTTCAGTTACTGAATGACCTTGGGAGACAGTGCTCCCTGTTGGTAAGGGGAAGACTTACCCCTAGGGAGGTATAAACCTTGCAGCCCAAAACCTTAGGAGATAGAGGATCCCCACTTGGAAGTTGTAGGTGTTGCACAGATTTGGTTTCAAGAATGAACACTTTTGTGTGCCCATGCTATGATATGGAGCTGAGACATGTAGAAGGTGGTACAAGGGAAAAATAAGGGGAGGGGGATTAAAAACAAGGGATTAAAAGAAAAAGGACAGGGAAGAGGTAATAAAGATATGCGTGGTTGTTTTGTTCTCTTCACTTTCTTGAGCTAGGATCCTTTCTTCTTGATGCATTAACCTGCATTCAGTAATTGTTCACCGAATGGATCATTCCATCAGTTTTGGTCCTGAAGTCCCAGGGAGGAGGCCAATGAGCTGCCATATTTTGAGAACCATTTCTATGCCAGTCCCTATTAAATGATAGACTTTTTAAGGAAGCCTGAATTATGTATTCATGAGGATCATCATCTTGTTCCTAAGCCAGAGATTCCTGTTGCCATACTAGAAACAGCCTCCTTGCCTGAAATGTTGAGGAAAGGCCTTCAGTTAGGGACTAATCTGTCCATTCTTAATTACAATCATAATAGAATGACTCAAATATTGATCTTTGATCTATCTGTACTTATGTTTTTTCTTAGTTTTTCATTCTGCTCTGGTAGTGTCCTTTAAACTTAATATGGGTTGTTTCCCCCACCTGACGATGTATTTTTTCAGCTGTAATGTATCCATGTTTCCTCAGTTACTTTCCTGAAGACTACCATTCCTTTATTCCAGGATGCCTCTTTGTTTTTATCTCAACTGGTCTATTTACTCTCTGGACGAAGAGTTGATTAGTCGAAGACTTTAGGAAAACAGTTCTGTTACCAATTACTTTTTTGAACCTCACAATCATTTCATTTAAGAACGTGTTAGCCCCTCAAGTGTCATAGGAGAAAAAAAAACTGTATCCTGATATCATAATCATCATCACAATTATTTGTAATTGTAGACCATATTCACTCCTCTGCTACCTGTGTGGGGAGCAAATTAAAAAAAAAAAACCCTAAAAGTTAATTTTTAAGGTGTCAGGAGGTTTGATTACCGCCCCCCGCTCCCCCGCTCCCAAAGACACAAGCTATAATCTAGGCACTAGGTTATAAGGCTCTAGGGAAAAAATTTTCGGGGCGGAACCCAAGTAGTTTAGGTTCCTCCCATTGGTTCTTTCGGGGAGCCTCCGTCCCATTCCGGTCCCGCCTCCTGGGCGAATCAGCCAATAGGGATGTGAGTTGTCTTTCAAACACCTGGCCGGGCCGGGCGCTACAGCAGGAGGCTGTGGCGTGGTAATTTGGTTGCTGATCCTAAAGTGGGTGACTCCAGAGGTTGCGAGTGGTTGGGTGGGAATGGGGGTTCTGGCCAGGAAAAAGGCATATCGAGGGCTGGGGGCAGGAGGCCGGGAACTGGGAGCCGGTATCAAGGGGCTGCGTTGGGGGGCCGGGGATCTGGGGCGCGGCTCCGATGGCCCGGGACTCGGGGTGGGTGGGTGGGTCAGGGTCAGGGGATTTGGAGGAGGTGGGGCGAGGACCGCGTGCCCGGGGCTTGGGCTTGCCGAGTCGGGGTGAGCTGCGGCTTTGGGCTGCATCGCGATCCCCGACCGTTCGGTTCTGATGAGTACCAGTGTCTGCAGACTCCAAACCGCCAACTCCTATGGAATTTAGAGTCTGGCACCTCTTTCAAAAGTTAAGAGCTGGATTAAGTGCCCGTTGGCACAAGCTCGGGCTTCCCTCTGCTTAATGTAAAGTTCGGTCTGTGCTACACCTTAGATTCTCTGGTCTTTCCCACCCCCAGGGTCTAATATGTATTTCACACCCCTAGTTAATACAGAATGGCTACTGTGATCTTTGTGGATAAGGAAAACGGAGAACCGGGCACCCGTGTTACTCCTAAGGACCGGCTGAAGCTGGGGTCCCGGCCTTGTAAGTATACAGGCTGCAATCAGATACACAGGTATTGTGGATCAATTGTGGATGTGCCCCGGAGCCTAGGGAGCCATTTAGTGTACTTTCTGTGGGCAGTTGGAGTCGAGTTTGCCGAATACAGGCATACCTTTTATTGCACTTCGCAGACGTTGCATTTTTTTACAAATTAAGGGCAAGACCAAGCAGCAGCAGGATTGTGACTCACTTTGTACTTGCTCAGTTGCCTTGGTCTACAATTGAACCTGCAATATCTCTGAGGTGTGCCTGTACTGCCATTACAACGTGCTTGTTATGAGTCTTGCCTGTTCAGTATTTGAATGAAATTGACAATTGCCATGCCATGGTCAAAAATGGGGGTTGAGTTTGCAGTGAGAATTAGGCCAAGTTGATACAGTCAGCCCTCAAGTTGCACAGATGTGTTATTGCCCAAATAATCTTACTTTTTTTTTTTTTTAAGCAGTCAAAGCTTTAGATGGGAGATCTCAGGTTTCAACAACACATGTTGGCAAAATGTTTGATGCTCCACCAGCTTTACCTAAGGCTCCCAGAAAGGCTTTGGGAACTGTCAACAGGGCCTCAGAAAAGTCAGTGAAGAGTAATGGACCTCTCAAGCAGAAACAGACAACCTTCTCTGCTAAAAAGGTAAGTATTGTCTATAAAGACACTAAGTTTGAACACTTTAGCACTTTGACTCTTAAAATGACTTGGCATCCTCTCTGGCTTTCTTCCCAGTGAGTAGGGCAAATATAGACCAGCAAACAGATTGGCAGAAGAGAATCATACTGTTTTTGTGAGCTTCCTCTGTACTCGGAGATCAGAAGCCTCTGAATCAGCTGGTGAATATTTTTGCCTCACCTGCCCTTAATGTCTTGAAGCAGATTGGCTGGTAGTACAGGCTTACTTACCTCAGAGATATTGAAGGTTGGGTTCCAGGCCACAGGCCACCATAAAACAAGTATTGCCATAAAGCAAGTCCTTTTTTTTGGAGGGTCTCGCTTTCAGATTGTTAAAACAAAACTATGAAGTGCATTAAAGTGAATGTGATAAAATGAAGTATGTCTGTATCTACTTACATATACAGGAAGTGCTTTGCATATAATAGCTCAGGTGCTGCCATCCTCCACCCCACCTCCCAGAGCAAGCACCAGCCCACTTAGGTGCTGATTTGTTAGCACCGCAACCTCTGTGTTTGTGTACTAGCTAGTGAGCTAGCATTATAGGTCAGTGCATCCCAGGCTGAGAAACATGACTTGAGTGTGCGGATTGACACTTGATTTGAATGATTTTTTGTTTAATGTGTATTAAGAAACAGCAATAGATTAAAGTAACATTGAAGGAAACATGGAAAAATCATACTTCCAAAAGCCAAAAATGGCATTTAGGATTAGCTTGTATTCTGGCCGACTCAGGGTCCTTTCCTCCTCTGTTAGGCTGAGTGATTGCGTTAATTACCTCCACTCTGCATTCTTGATGGCTCAGGCTGACAGGAACTAATACTGAAATTTTGGACTTAACTTTTGAGCCTCGATACTAGAATTGCTTGTTGAATTGTATTTGTATGTAATCACAGAACTAAGGATGAAAAAAATAAATAAAAAAAGGAGATAAGGATCAGGGTTCTTTGAAGTCAGCTTGAAATTGAAAAAGTTTTAGAATGCAGTGAAGCCTTCACATCTTTTTTTTGTAAAAAAGAATTTATTGATTTTAGGGAGTGAGAGGAAGAAAGAGAGAGAAACATCGATTTGTTGTTCCACTTATTTATGCGTTCACTGCTTGCTTCTTGTATGTGCCCTGACTGGAGATCAAACCCGCAACCTTCGTGTATCAGTATGATGCTCTAGCCAACCGAGCTCGAAGAAGTCCTCTCACTGACTCCTATTTTCTTGGCTTGTTTTAGGTGACCGAGAAGACTGTCAAAGGAAAAAACTCTGCTCCTGCCTCAGAGGACACCTATCCAGAAATAGAGAAGTTCTTTCCCTTCAACCCTCTAGGTAGTATCCTTTGGTGTTACAGAAATGCTTGGGCCTTGAATTTCTCTTAGAATCCATTTCAGCTGTAACTTGCTGTGGATACGAATATGACACATGACCCGAAGCTGTAACGAGGCTGTCTGAATCTGGGCTGCTTTGAACAGACACACTTGTTAGTAGGTATATTTGTAAGGCACCATCCTGGGTCAGAAGGGGAATTGGGGCAGCGATGTGGAGAACGTTTTCCCTCCCAGGGGGGAGAGGATGTGCTCACTAACCTTGAACAAGTCAGTCTGCAGTGGACAGCCCTAGTAAGTTTGTTAGAAAGCGGGCTTTGTGGCAAATTAAACAACGCCTGAAAACGTCACATAGCCAGTGAAGGCATGATTTTTTTTACTCCTTCAACCTGCTACATGTATCTGAAACGTTTTTTATTATAGAACCAGGTTTTTAGCTTTAATTTACTCATATTTGAGGAGAGGCTACTGTATGCCAGACCCTGCCCTGATTTGCTCACGATTTGGAGGCTCTGAATTTGTCCAGTTCTGAACAAGTCATCTCACTGTGATGGTGAGCAGGCAGAAAAACAGGGCCCGTTAGGGGGAACCGGACCTAGCCTGGAACAGCAGGGAAACTTTCACAAAGTGACACAAAGTGGAGTCTTGAAAGCTCTAAGGAGACAGGTCGGTGAAGAGGAGGATGGGTAAGGCCAGAGCGTTCGTTGTACACAGAAGTGTGTGCAAAGATCCTGAGGTGGGCCAAAGGCCTGGTGCAGCTCTGGGGAACCGAAAGCAGAGTGGAGGACGAGACGGGTGAAGCGGTGGGAGCAAATCAAGCAGGGCCTTCTCGCTTTCTCAGCTGGGTTTTTTGCCCTCTCACCCAACGGGCGTTTGGCATTGTACTAGCACACATCCCGGCTGTTTGTGGCTCTTCTACATTGCAGACAATTCTGCACTCAGTATTCTGGAAGTTACAGTGTTGTGAGTTTGTGAGTATACCCAGTGAGGAAACTTCAGGGACGCTGGGTGATGACACTCTGAGAGCCTCCGTGCTAATGGTTACCATTCAGACGTTAAGGAAATGAGGAAGGCTTAGGCCAGGAAGGAGGGCTCCCGAGTGCTGTGTTTCAGGAAAGAGGCATGGCCGAGTTGTCCTTTAAAATGGGAGCATAAATTACTGAAGCCACCTCCTGCTTCCCCCCCTGCTCTCTAGCTGCAGCTATTTGAAAACTCTAATCTTTATCAGAAACACAGTGGGTGCCTGCTTTAAATTGGGGGGTGTGTGTGCCCAAGTGAGAGCACGTTTGATAATTGGCCACTTGTGGTTAGTTTAACTTCGATCTGGATCTTTGTTTTCCTTTGATAATGTGACTGTTTTTAAGAGATCTTAGTGCATAAAGGAAATTAGCCCTTTTATGTCTCAGACTTGCTTCCTCCTGAGTCTTTTGTCTGTTTCTGGTTTCCTTCGAATCCCGTGTTGTAAATGAAGTAGTCTCTGCCATTCGGTTTTCTTTTGACCTCTGGGCTTTACCAGGCTTCAGAAGGATCAGATACGTTCCTAGTATTTAGGCTTCAGAGAACTTTCACGCTTGCTGGCGTATCTGGACAATGCTTTAACTCTTTTTGTTCTTATCTTCTGGGAAAATGGTTAACCTCCTCGTAAAGAGGAAAGATTCAGTATTTAAATCCTATTTTGTTACTGTCAAGAAAAACCAGTTTTAAATAACACAGACGGTGGTTCTCAAATTTTTGTTCAATCACTCTTTTCCACACTTAAAAATGAAGGAGGACTCCCGTTGTATGTTTTGTTTATATTTCCTGTGTTAGAAATTAAAATGGAGATATTTAAAATTATTAATTGGTTAAAAAATAATAAACATATTGTGTTCATATAAATAACTTTATAAAATAACTTTTCCAAAACAGAAAAAGCTTATTGAAAAGATTGGCATGTCTTTATATTTTTGAAAATTTGCTTTATTTGGCTTAATCTGAGACAGCTGGGTTCTCCTCTGACGTCTGCGTTCAGTGCGTCGCATCTGTTTCAGTTAAAGTACACGCAGAAAATCTGGCCTCATGCAGGTATCTAGTTCAGAAAGGAGGAAGCGTTTAGTAGTCTTTTCCGATAAGTGTAGTTTTCTTAGATACTACATTAAAATTCAATCCGTGGCTGTTTCTGAACGGACAGCATGGAATCTGAAACCATGGCACTGAACATTTTGTGCTGTGGCAGTAAAATGACTGGGTCTCCTGTGAACTTCAATGTATTTTATCCTTTCGTTCACCATGCACTGGTCATTGAGGAATACTGGTTTCTTGAGAAAAGCAGATTCACCACATATTGAAATGCTTCATTATGCTGCAGCAAAAGCGGTTCTTTGATCACCGATCTTTTCAGAAAAGTCTTAAGTATGATGCAGCTGTCAAACTAATGACCGTAGATAAGTTTTCCAAAGTTCTAGAAATTGTGCATTCTAGAAATGCACAATTTTTCTTGAAATTGTGCATTTTATCATTGGCAACACACACTGTTTTCCCCGAAGGGATAGACTTCTTTCTTTCCTCTGAGAAAATGGGCAACCCTCATCTGACTCTGAGTGACCCCAGTTTGTCTTTCAGTTCTTTCGGCTGAATTGCGCTGGGAAAAAGGCCTCTAGTTTAGCTTGCAAATCAGGCAGTCGTCCAAACCCTTTTTCTTTGAGATCACCATCATACCTTAGTGTGCAGCAGAGTGCTTTCTGGCACACTTACTTTCTTATACTGAATATTACAGAGATACACCCTGAAAGATTAAGAGCTAAAAAAATAAATGCTTTTCACTGTGCTTAAAACTAGCATTTTTTAAAGAGATTTTATTTATTCATCTTTAGAGAGAGAGAAAGGGGGGAGAAAGCGAGGGAGAGAAACATCAGTGTGTGGTTGCCTCTTGTGCACCCGCTACTGGGGGCCTGGTCTGAAACCCACACATGTGCCCTGACTGGGAATCGAACTGGCAACCCTTTGGTTCAGAGGCTGATACTCAATCCACTGAGCCATGCTAGTCAGGGCAAAACTGGCATTTTTTTACTGCAGGCGAATGGTAGGGAGGAGCACAGCGTATTGCCCCTTGCCGTGATCTGTGCTAAGGCACGCTGCTTTACCCACCGTTGCTTCTGTGCCGTCGCTGCTCATGTCAGCACAGTGGGAAACGGTGTTAATGTTACTAGAGAAACAGTTTTGACCTCGTGGGCCCGCTGACGGGGGCTCAGGCTCCCGGGAGTCCACCGACCAGACTGAGAACTGCTGTCCTGACAAAATCCCTTCTGTGCGTGGCAGACTTTGAGAGCTTCGACCTGCCTGAAGAGCACCAGATCGCCCAGCTGCCCTTGAGCGGAGTGCCTCTCATGATCCTCGAGGAGGAGAGGAAACTCGAACGGCTGCTACACTTCGGCCCCCCTTCGCCTCTGAAGATGCCCTCTCCACCGTGGGCGTCCGGTAAGTGCACAAGGGCCCTTCTGGCAGGGCCGAGAGCAGTCAGCGCCAGGACACGTGCATCACCCTGGGGACGGCTCTGTGCAAGGTTGGCCTGCCAGCGAGTTCTGTCCTTCAAACTTCAGGATGAGGTTTCGGAACAGTAAACACTATTCTCAGTTGGTACTGCTTTTTGGCTCCAAATGCCCGGGTGAAATCAAGTCATTCTGGAACCCAGACAGCCTTAGCTCCAGCAAAACGAGGTGGAACTTAGCATGTAGCTTCATAGGTTACAGGTTGAGGTATAATAAACTTGCTTGAAAGGGGAATTCCAAGTCACATCCAGAGCTTGTTCAGGATCAAGGCATCTATACAACAGCACAGAATGACAAAACCTTACTGTACGGTGTTTGAGGTCTGGTTCGAGGTGGTGCTGAGAGGCCCTCATCAGTGTTTTCTGTTTGTTCTGATGAGATAACTTCCACTGTTTCATAATTTAAAGTTTGTAGTTTACATTAGTGGTATTGTTGGCTCTTACTGGTGTGTAGGTGGGGCAGGGATTCATCAGATAAGGGAAAAACAACTGATGATTAAAAATGACAGCTAATGTCTGTGTGGGGGTGGGCAGTGAATCAAGGGTTTGCAGACACTGAAGAAGAAATTCCTCTTTTCTAGATCCGCTGCAGTCTCCCTCAAGCATTCTGTCGACTCTGGACGTTGAACTGCCGCCCGTGTGCTATGACGTAGAGGTTTAGTTTCTTAGTGCTTTCCAGTTTGTGTGTATGTATTAATAGTTCGTGTTAATAAAGCAATTCCTTGACAGACTCTTAACATTGCGGTTGATATTTGTAATTTGCTTAAAACTATAAAAACGAGTATCATTAGAAGTGTTAATAGATAAGAATCCATAATCTGACAATAGAAGTTTGTCTGATTTGAAAAATATACCATAAAACCCTTTGATTTGTTTTAACAGCTTATGTTAGAAGCTGCACTCTTTTCCCTGAGACACATCCCCTCGATGTGTACTTGGTTGCTTTTCTGTGGCCGATAACTGGTGACCTTTGTTAGATCGTTAGATATTTTTTGCAGGCCCCCAGTCCGCCCTAAGGTGAATCTCTCCCTTCCTCCTGACGTCCGTCTGCTCTGAGCTCTGCGCATGCGTCAGCGAGACCCCAGCGCCTTTCCGCCTTTGCAGGTCCGCACCGCGTTGTAGTTGTCGGCTCGTGTCCTCGGGCACATGGTAGGTGCTCAGTAAATAATGAGGACATGAATACTTACCTTCTGGAAAGGTTTATGTAGGTGACTTGATCATTTTATTTTTTAAAAAATTTTAAAGGTTTTATTTATTTTTAGAGAGGGGAAAGGAGAAAGAGAGGGAAACATCAACGTGTGGTTGCCTCTTGGGTGCCCCCTACTGGGGACCTGGTTCCCAACCCGGTGTCCTGACTGTGCCTCCAACCAGCGACCCTTTGGTTCACAGGCCAGCACTCAATCCACGGAGCCACACCGAGTAGGGCCATTCTTTAATTATTTATTATTTCAAATTTGCAGTCCATTTCCCTTCATTTATGCAGAAAAACGTCTATTGGGTGGTCACTATGTGCCGGTCACTGTTCTAGGTACTAAGAATAGAGCACTGAACAAAACAGGTAAAAATCTGTTCTCATCCCAGCCAGAAGGAACAGACTATCCACAAAATAGTAAGCTACACGAGGTGCTAGAAAGTGATAGGTGCCTGGAAAAAATATGGTAGGGGAGGACACATATCTGTGGGTGAGTGGGTGGGTGGGCAGGTTGAAATTTTAACTGGAGAGGTTATCGAGGGCCTCAGTGGGAAGGCACTTTTGAAGAAAGATACTTTTGAGCAGAGGTACTTTTTTTTTTTAAGATTTTATTTATTTATTTTTAGAGAGAGAAGGGAGGGAGGGAGAGAGAGAGAGAGAGAGAGAGAGAGAGAAACATCAATGTGCGGTTGCTGGGGGTTATGGCCTGCAACCCAGGAATGTACCCTGGCTGGGAATCGAACCTGGGACACTTTGGTTCCCAGCCTGCTCTCAGTCCACTGAGCTACACCAGCCAGGGCGAGCAGAGGTACTTTTAAAGGAGGCGAAGGAAGAGTCCTGGGGATGCCCAGGGATAAGACTGTCCAGGCGGAGGAGAGAGCAAGTGCAAAGGCCCTGAGGTAGGAATGGACTTGGTGTGTTGGAAGCATTGCAGAAAGGTCAGGGGGCTGGAAGGCAGTGAGAGACAGGGAGGTGGAGGGGGCGGGAGATGGTGCCAGAGAGGCAGGCAGGGGCCAGATCAGGCAGGGTCTGGAGGGCCATGGAAATGAGTCTGGGTCTTTAGTGTGGGTCCCTCCATGGGTGGGTGGCGGTGCAACAGATTGTTGGGGGCAGGGCAGTGCTGAGCAGGGAAGATGGTGGGTAGGTGCTTGAAGATCAGATTACGGAGAGGTCGAAGTTAGGGGTGGCGATAGTGTCTAGGAGCTGACCACAGGGAGCGAGTGACTGAGGGAGGTGGAGGGGAGTCGTCAAGGAGTTTTGGGAGCGGGTCTTGGATGGAATAGAGTGAAGGAGTGGGGTTAGAGAGAATGGCAGTGAGCTGGGGGCCAAACCTTCAAGGAGGGAGGGAGGGAGGACACGGCTGGGGTGTTTGCAGCAAGACGGTCCATGGATGGTACAGTCGGATGACCCGGGATTCCAGGCGGAGTTTCTGGGTGGGCAGAGGGAGCATGGTCTGGAAGCAGCCCCGAGGACCCCCGTTGGGGGGTGCGGGGACAGGAGGCCAGGGGAGGGTTGGTGACCGGAGCAGGGGTGGCAGCCAGGGAGCCAAGGTTCCCTCCTGGTGTGCAATATGTCTTTTACTGACACATTAATTTTAATGAAACGTAAGTGGGAGTATCACTTCCTAATACTAGGTTTCTTAGCCTGGGTGCAATTGAGCGAGGATTTTTCGGTTCTATTCCCTAGAGGTGGAATAATAGGAATTAATTGTTTCTGCCCCTGGGTCTTTCTAGAGTGGCATCTAGGCTTTAGACAGAGCCCCTCTGAATTGCTTGGGGGAGTCTGCCTCGGGCTCCCCCTGCCCTGAGAGGCTGCATCCAGGGCCCAGAGGAAGGAGAAGGTGATTTAAGAGGACATGCAGGTGCAGGTGCCAGGAAGAGAGGAGGCACGGAGGAAAAGAGGAAGAAGTGGTGTCTGAGAGGTCGCTAGGGCTATGGGGAATGCACTTCCTTTTCCTTTGCCCTGCAGACAATGCGCGTTATAGAGTGGTGCTTCTCCAGGGGGGTCTGGACACTCCAGGGGTCCCTCGAGATCCTTTCAGGGCTGCAGGAGGTCAAGACCAGTCAACAACGGAACTAAGATGTTACTTGCCATTTCCACACCATACTCTCATGTGTGTGTCCTGGGGTTTTGCAGAAGCTATGTGAAGTGTGTTATCACAGCAGATTGAATGCAGATGTGGAGATGAGAATCCAGCTGCCTTCGTTTAAGCCAGATATTAAAGAAATCTGCAAAAACGTAAAACATCAGTCTTCCCACTGAATGTCATTTTATCTGGGAAAAGAGCTGTTTTTTCACGAAAATGTATTAATTATATTAACATTAAAAGGGGTTGTTACTACAGTGTCTAAATCAGTAACTGGTTCTAATAGTGTACATTGCTAGATATTATCTTTATAAACAAAAGCTCTGTGAGGCCCTTGAAGAGCGTGAAGGAACCCTGAGACCAAACAGGCTGAGAGCTGTGGTGAGCGGGTGAGAGGTCCGGGTCTGGAGTTCGTGTGCTTGCGTGCAGAGAAGGCCTGTGATCCTAAGCAAGTTACTTAACCTCTCTGAGATTTAATATCTTTATCTGTAAACCAGATACCTCATACAGTTGGTGTGAGCAACAAATGAAATGTATTAACATGGCTTTGCACAGTGCTGGGCCCAGAGTGATCATTTTACAAATGTTGATTATTTGATCAAATAACACATATAATAGTATGAGGGGGGCCCCCAAAAAACCAGAATTATCTTCTGGAGGGCGAGCCCCTTGTAGTACAGGCTTCCCCCGCCAGGTGTGTGTGCTAGGAGCCCATCTGCGTGAGTGCACCAGCTGGCGTTGTCAGAGGCTGCATTTGGCTTCAGTGGATTGTTTTTGAAGTCTCTTTCAGTGTGTGTGCCCATCTCATGATGGGTGATTTATGAGTGCACCTGCCTACACCACGCCGAGTGTTCAGCAGTTTTTGACCAAAAACAGCATGACTCCCATGCCCCACCCTCCCTGTTCACCCAATCTCGCCCCAGCAACTTTTTTTTTTGTTTCCTTGATGTAATAAGTCAGAAGAGGTGAAACGAGAACAGCTGAAGAACTAAAAGGCATCAAAATCAAGGAGTTCAAAAACTGTTTTGAGCAGTGGAAAAAAATGTCTTGGTAGGTGTATTGCATCAAATGGAGAGATTTGAAAGTGACTGAAGTTTAAACAAAAGAAATACACATTTTTTTATAATTAAATTCCATTTTGGGGGGGTCGCCCCCTTGTACATGCATAGCCCTGTGCTAAGTGCTGTGAAGGGTGTAGACTGCACAAGGCTCTCACTCTGAAGGCGTTTGCCGTCCAGGAGGGGAGAGATTTCTAGATTTGTAGTTGGTACCTTTGGGTTCACCTCCCAGCCCTACCTGAACCCAAGGTCAAGTGACCTTGAGTAAGCCACTTCCCGTGGTGTAAAGTTAGATGATAGAGGCATCCATGGTGGTCCACTGAGGAGACAGTAAGTTCCCACTGTATCTCTCAGGCATCTTTGCTGCTGCCTCAGTTGAACATTTGGTTTTGCCTTTCTCCTAGAAAATTAAGCTATATCCTCAGCTTTCCTTGTCCAGAGTCCGCTTTTCTTCCTGCAACCATGAGATCATACCACTAGAGGGCATCTCTTGCCTTCCTATCCATTCACTTGCGGCTTTCTCTGACGTGCAAAAGTTCTTTAGCAGAGATGGTGTCCTCAGGGCACTCTCGCTTGGTGAGTGTGGTTGGCCTTGTCTGAGACACCCGCCTGTGTGTCAGTGAACACACACTCACAGAGACCTCTTTAAATAAACCTGGGAGGGCCGGGAAGGGGTTAGTGGGAGGAAGATTGTGGGTGTCACCACGGTCCCCTGACATTCAGTGAGCAGGTTCTTCGTGCCAGGGTTGTGCTAACTGCCTCACCTGCATGGTCTCGGGGAGTCTCAGAGCAGCACTGGGGGGTGTGGCCATGGCACTCTTTAATGGCTGGAGACCCGAGCTCTGGCTGGTTCAGTGACTGGTGCAAAGTCCAGCTCAAAGGTGGTGGAGCAGGTTCAAACCCCCGAGGAATGTGCTGATTGTAGAGGAGGGCGAGGTGGCCGTGAGCCTGAGGGAGGGAGGGTGGGTGGGAGGGAAGCCTGGCCTGGCAGGAGGCAGGGTCTGGACAGGAGACGAGCCAGAGAGTTTGGTCAGGCAGGGGAGTCACACTTCGGACTAGGAAATGGTCTCCGTAGGGCACTGTCCTGCCGAGGCTGTGCACCCTTAAAGCAGGGAGCCGGCCTCACGGTCCTAGCACAATACTTCTCAGCCTCAGCCAGTCTCTGCCTTGTAATACTGCCTTTACTATCCTGAAGGGAAGTTCACAGGCAGTGTGTATCTATACATGTGTGGTGTATGCTTACATATAATACAAAAGAAAATACAACTGAGTGTCAGGCTTACTTACCCGTGTAAGCCTGCAAGCACAACTTTCCAAAGTGTCCACCAGGGGGCGGCATGTTCTTCCACCCCCATGAACCTCAGGGCCCTACCCCGTGACATTGGGCTGTCTCCCCCTGCC